TATTATTAAACGATAAGAAGTTTAAGATTTTACTATAAATTGTTTTAAAAAAACTTTGATTAATAATATGAAGAATATCGTGAAAGAAATTAAATTGTGGGTTGGTTTATGCATCCTAAAATTTAATTAATTTTACATTACAAAGTACAACTCTGTAGCATTTACTCGTAGTAATTAATTATTTTCAAGAATTTTTTATACCGTAACATATATTTTACTTCTTAAAAATTCAACGAGTATTATATGAATTTTAAGAAGATGTAAATAAAATTTGTAAATGTCTTCTCTTATTATATTGTAATTTAATTATTTAGGAATAAAAATTATCTAATGACTTAATTCCAATATTTAAAAGATGGAAACAAGCATAATTTGACGCTGACTTTCTTCTTTACAATAATTACGATTCTTAATACATAAAAAGATGTAAATGACACAAATTTATATCAGGATTTAATCATTTATATTATTAAAACTTTAATTATTTGAATTTTTTATTTTAAATTAATATTACAATAAAATCTATTAATTTTGAGTCTTAAAATATAATTATTAAGAAAAATAATTAATAAAATTTAGAAATTTTATCATAAAGAAAGTATTGTAAAAATTATTGTAAAAAAATTAATTAGAACTAAATTAGAAATTAATTAAAACTTAGTTTAATTAAAATTAATTGGCTTAAATAAAATTAATCGCATATCAGAAAATTGAAATTGCAAAATTTAAAAACTCTGAGATAAGTTCTAAAAAAACATTATCTTGATTATTTTATTAATTATTTTGATTTTAATATTACCAGAATGAAACCAGAAACGAGTGTCAAATAATATTTATTAGCTTATTATATGAAAATAACATTTTCTTTTTATTATTATTATATTATTATATTATTATTATATTTATTATTATATTATCCTTTATATCTTATTTATTTCTTATAAATTTATTTAAAGTAATCGAATTACAATGTTAACTTACTTGAATATTTATTAAATGTGAAAATATTACACGATCGAAGTTAATTGGCAGATAGACCAACGCTAGATATTTGTTTAGTCATATATTGTAACAATACTTATTTGACATAAACATAAACGTTTTGATCATTATACTAGATCATTTTTATTGTTTCTAAATTTATTTGTTACAAAAAATAATTTACAATGTATTTTAATATATAAATTCTTGAACACTTCTTATAAGTAAATCGCCTAGTCAATTTGCATTTTATCCTCTTAATTACATTGTTATATTTCATTGTTGTCCAATTTTTTTGTGTTTCTATGATGTTTCACATTTGTTTGTTTTTTAAGTACATAATTATTTAGTTTATATTAAAAATTGGTCCAAAACTTTTTGAATACATTTTATTTTTAATATTTAAAGAAATTATTTGTGTATTATCAATTAACTACGCTGTCCGAGGCTATATATTTTTAAACGAGACTGACTTACTTAAAAATATTAGTCATAAGAATAAAATATATAAAAAGTCTCAAATGATTAAAACAATTATATAAAATTATCAGGAGCGCAAAGAGCCACAATGCCAGATCTTAGTGCGAAAAATCATATAATCATATTAGAATATGTACACATAAAAATGCTTGCAACGCAATATACAAACGTTTTGACCTGACATCAGGCCTTTTTCTGTGTACAATAATAAATAATGAATAAATCTCGCACGCAATCATTTAACAAATTAATTAAAATAAGATATATTAAACTTGAGATACGCAATGCATAAATTGCAGGAACGGCGGATAAAAAAAAAATTGAATATTGCTTAATATGTATAATATTTGTCAATTAGAACATTGATCATAAATTTCAAGAAATAGCACTTTAAGATATTTTGATGATACATGTATTTTAATTAATATCAAAATATAGTACTAGATTATTAAAAGTAAACGAAATAATATTATAAATAGATACTTTATTTTATTTATAACGCTTTAATATATTGAGCTTTTTTTATCTCATTGTCAATAGGTACAGTTTTTGCTTCATTATTACTAATTTTAATTTTTCTACAATATATTTTTTTCAAAATGAAACTATTTTAAATAATATGCAATGAAACAAAATTCATATGTATTTCTTCTACAGTAGACTCTCTCTCTCTCTCTCTC